GTGACTGTTAGGCTGAGGGGATCCTGGGGGATTGTCATTTAGACAGTAAACATGTTTTTGCGGCGAGCTGAGCTCCGGAGATGGCTGGCCGGGCAACGGGAGCCCAGGAGACGGACCACGGGAGGGATCAGAGTGGGTTATTGGATGGGTACATGTGACCCTCTTAGTCCCTTTCATCACGAACCCTCCCTGATTTTGGGTGTGGTCTGAAGGGACCCGTTGACCGGCCGAGTCCGACCGGAGACCAGCATCGCCTGTAGGGGGGAGACACAGAGGAGAGGGGTGGTTAGGAAGGAACTTTTTGGACAGAAGGTGTATCTTGCTAGTGGGCTGAGGAGGGGATGGGAAGGGAGGAGAGGGAAGGGGTGGATACTCCTGCATGGGAGTGATCAGGGAGTGAGAGGGGGGGTCAGGAAGAGGATTTTTAGGAAAGAGGTGTATCTTTCTAGTGGGCTGAGGAGGGGATGGGAGGGAAGGGGAGGGAAGGGGTGGAAAGGGGAGGGGAGGAGACTCCTGGGTGGGAGTAATAAGGGAGGGGTCCTTAGGTTTAGGGCTGGGAGACCTGGGTCCCTTAGGCTTAGGATAAGGGGTAAGGGGAGGGTCTCTCAATGGCTGCCGAGAGGCCTGGAGGGGTTTGGGGTTGAGGACAAGGTTAGAGTAGGAGCCCTGAGGAGGGCAGAATGTCTTGGGGTCAGGGTAGGGGATGAGGTTGGGGTAAATACCCTGGGTGGGGTGGGGGGTCTTAGGATACAGAGAAGGGATGGGGAGGTGAGAGGGGGAGGGGTTCAAATAATTGTGTATAGTGGTTACCGTTCTCTGGGTCAGCCTGGGGCCATAGCGTTTTCTGGCCCACCCTATGGCGATCTGGAACGCTAGAGGGTTAAATGGGGAGGGTGTTGGGTGTATGTAGTGTGTTCTTGTAGTGTTGTTGCAGTATGATCATGTTGGTATGCATCCAGTTTATGGTGTTGGCATGTATCTGTGTGTGTGTGTACTCAGTTGGGGTAGATGGTTTAATGAATGCAGAGAGTATGGTGACTTGTCTGAGCATACCTGGGGGGAAGGTATGTGTGGCTATGGCTTGGTCTGTGGTGTATTTATGATGTGTGGCCTGGATGAGTGTGAAGTAATGTTTGGCCAGATTTCTGGTGGCTGGTTCCAGTGGCTGGTATGGTGTTCTATGTGTGTAGTTGTTAATATCAGTGTATGGTCTATGTGTGTAGTTAATAATATCAGTGTGTGTTCTATGTGTGTAGTGGTTTATATCAGTATGTGTTGGCTGTGCATACTCTCCACGTCCACTCAACTGCACATACTGGGTTCTGGAATTGAACATTAAAAACCGTGTGGGCTCTTACCTGGGTAGGTTTTGTAGTGGGGCCTGGTGAAGACGTTCCGGGTGGTTGTGGTTGGAAGTCTTTGTAATTTTCTTATTGCAGGTCCAAGTAGGATGGTTGTAGGAGTCTCCTTTTTGGATTTCCAGGCGGTGATTTTGGGAATGTGTAAGGTCCCAACAGTTGAGAGGAAGTGTCTGTTTTGTAGAGTACAGCTTCCATATGGGGCAGAGCCCAACACAACAGTTAAAAGCTCAAAACTTTAATTAGCACGAATTTAAAAGAGGTTTAAAAAGCTTGTATTTAAAAGCACTGGTCAAAATTTTAAAACAGAGTACCGTTCAGTGGAGGTGAGTGGAAGTAGTCTCCTCGACGTTTCGATACAATGTATCTTCTTCAGGAGGAAAGTGGAGAGCTGCACAGCTGTGGAGGCTTATAAGTGATCAAGAGGTTTGAGTAGACCTATCAGGGGAAGGTACATGGTGTCAGGTGATCGAGCAGGGGGTGGGGGCCCATGTTTTTGGAGGGAAAACGGTATGCTGTGATCTGGTTGGATCTGCCAGGGGGTGGGTGGGTTTTGGTAGAGGAAAGGAATGGGGGTAAGTGTGAGAAGGAGTTTGTTAACTACTGACTGGAAGGATAGCTCAAAGGATAGGCTGCCGCCCCTAGACCTGGGAGACCCGGGTTCGAAACCGGCCGACAACACAACCAGCCACAACTCTCTGTTTGGTCCAGAATTGGTCCATTGTAAGTGGGAGTGTGGTGCAAATCAGTCCAGATCAGCGGCACTGGCTGGGTTAGGTTTAGGGTTTTGGATTATCGGTTGAGAGTGGGTGCACGGGCCTGAGGATCTGTGGATGGGTGTATGCAAGTGTTATTCGACATAGGTTCAAATATGAGGTTTTAAGGTGTTTGGACCAATTCTGGAAAATGTGAATGTTGAGAGGGGATCATGGGGGTCTGATTTTCCAAAAAGTCAGCTGAAATCAAGGACTCTGGTTCCCAATATGATGCATTGCTGGAGCCAGAACCAGGCTCCAGGGGTGAGCTGGTCCTGGTAGGGGGAAGCAAAGGGGGAACCAGGGGATAGCTTGTGTGCTTGTGACTGTTAGGCTGAGGGGATCCTGGGGGATTGTCATTTAGACAGTAAACATGTTTTTGCGGCGAGCTGAGCTCCGGAGATGGCTGGCCGGGCAACTGGAGCCCAGGAGACGGACCACGTATGGGGACAAAATGGAGGTCCCCATGAGGGGAATCATTCATTTTAGGGTGAAGACTTGGTTAGGTTTAGGGTTAGGGTTAGGGTTAGGGTTAGGGTTAGGGTTAGGGGTTAGGGTTAGGGTTAGGCATGTGTTGGTTATGGTTAAGGTTAGGATAAGTCTCCAGGAAATGCATGTAAGTCAATGTAATGTCCCCTGAAGTGATGTATACATGGTATGTGTGTGTGTGTGTGTGTGTGTGTGTGTGTGTGTGTGTGTGTGTGTGTGTGTGTGTGTGTGTGTGTGTGTGTGTGTGTGTGTGTGTGTGTGTGTGTGTGTGTGTGTGTGTGTGTGTGTGTGTTAGCCTAGTTGTAGTTGCCTTATTGACAGACCTGCCCTTGCTGCACTCTGCCAGTGTGGCTCGATACCGTACCTGTAGTAGCATCTTTGCTAATATCAGCATAAATGTGCTTTGCCCGAAGACGGTACTTAAGACTGGTTGTGCTCCGATGGAAAGACAGCTCAGCGTTGCAAAGTGTACACACAACTTTGGTTTTGTCTAAACTTCCATCTGGAAGATTTTAAAAGTGACATTTCCCGTCCAGCACTCCGCGGTGCATCTCCTCCGTCATCCTGTTAGTTTAACGTGCCAGTTAATTCCCAACAACATGCGCGCTGGAAATAATGAGGGAGGTATATACGTCTAAACTGGATACTATGATTAATTTGAGTAAAACAAAATAGTGGGTGTTAAAGTCTCGAGATTAATCACATGCGTTAACGCGTTAACTTTGACAGCCCTACAATAAATATAATCATGTTAACCTGTTAAGCCCTGAGCCTGTTTTTCAGGCCTCAGGCTCGAACATGACATTCCCAGAACAAATGACTATATCTTCACTTCTAAAAGGGGTAAATTAATTATCTTTTTTTTCAAAGCAAGGTTACACCTGTCAGTTTGTATGTAGACAAGTCAGAATCAATATAGATGTTTTTATTTTAAAGTCAATTCAGATTGGACATAGTAAAACAAATTAAATGATAGTGTCCGTCCAAAAAAAAAACATTACTTATAGTGAAAACCACCCTTCAATGATGGGATGGTAGACTAAAAGCTTTAGGAATCCAAACTATAACATATAATAAGTACCCTGTATCAAGATTGATGCAAAACAAGTGACATTTGACCTTTTTAGAGAGGTTTAGAAAACTAGAGTGTCATAGCAGCTATATATGAAAACTCCGTTATTGAATTAAAAATGGAATGATGGATTATCAGTAATCATTTCAAAGGGACACAGACACATTGGATTAACCTATGGATTAAACTTCAGCAGCGTTTTTATCGTGTTGATGCCATTGAAGACCACTTTTGATCAGAAAATCAGCTAAGGTAAGACAATGTCCCGTGTTTGCTCCGTAAAGCTATGTCGTGTCTGGGTTTGCTTCCCATGCCGCGAGTTCTGACCGCTCAGTGAGGATACTTCACTTGCTAATCGATATCTTGTTAGTGCAGATCTGATAAGTACGGAGCCCTGGAGGGTTCATAGAGAGAAAATAAATAAAACGTGGCCACGTTTTACTTTCTCGTGCGCACGCTTTAGTAACTCGTGCGCACGAGTTACTAAAGCGTGCGCACGAGTTAATAAAGCATGGCCTCGTTTTGTGTGTGTGTGTGTGTGGGGGGGGCATTTGTTTATGATAGTATCGTTCGTTCCGGTGCACTCCGGCAGGACTATAGCACATCGAGATTAAGATTAAACACATTTCTTTCACTTGGGAATACACTTAACTATGGGGAACCAGATTTGTGTAAAGTACTGTTCGTGGTAATTTGAAAACAAATGCCGGTGGTGTCGGATACACACGAACACGCACACAGAGCGGAGCTGAGCACACACACACACATCATGCGCCCCGGTGACAGGACATCTCCTTCATAAAGCGAGGGGGAATACTTTGGTAGTTCGATGTGTGTATAGGTGTGTGTAGTGTGTGGTTAAACGTAGCAGCCTCGATCTCTATTCAGCGGTTCTAATGAAGGGAAACGCAGTGAAGTAAACAGTCAAAGGCACAGCTCTTTGCAGCTGGTGCTGCTCTTCTCAGATTCTGCTGAGTTACACGTTACTGCCTCAGTGCCCTGTACGACGAAGCCAGTTCAACAGACCCTGGACCTGGACATGTTCGATTTACCCAGTTTAACTAACCCTAACAAACGCGATGTCGATAAGCGGTCCTACGAAGCTGGTTATCAACTCAGTAAATCAACCAGGGTTTCTCTGTCCGGCTGAGAGCGCGTTCATGTGAAAGGGACGGTGTTAGCAACATTTGACCAATCACAAACATGGAGACGCGTGCTGACAGCGCAGCGTCATACTTCATGAATGAATAGTGTAAATAGCCAATCCTGCTTCGTAGTACAGGCCACTGGTGCCGCAGAGATTTCATAAAGTGAAGGAGGTTTTCCTTCTATAAAACAGCTGTGGGCAGCAGATACTGTGAGTCACGGACAGGAATCCCTCAATTTAAATAAAACGAGGCCACGCTTTATTAACTCGTGCGCACGCTTTAGTAACTCGTGCGCACGAGTTACTAAAGCGTGCACACGAGAAAGTAAAACGTGGCCACGTTTTATTTATTTTTCTCTCTATGAACCCTCCAGGGCTCCGTAGATAAGTAATAAGGGTATTATACCATGAGTTCTGTGCTAAGTGCGTTTTTTTCGCTCAGGGCTCATTTAGACGCTTCTTGTGAGACTTGTGTTTTGTGTCGGTAAAAATTGTTCGTATCGCCAGTTAGCTGAGTTTCTTCCCGTTAAGTGAGTATGACACATTCATAGGTTTTTAAATGTTAAGAAGCCCTGAGACACATTTCCGTGAAAAAAAATCCCTGATTTAACAGGTTAATTGTATTCAATGTGTGTGTGTGTGTGTGTGTGTGTGTGTGTGTGTGTGTGTGTGTGTGTGTGTGTGTGTGTGTGTGTGTGTGTGTGTGTGTGTGTGTGTGTGTGTGTGTGTGTGTGTGTTGACTAAAACCCATTAGACCAAACAGCCAGGTCTGATTTGGCACAAATTGTGTCTGTTATTCAAATCAGCTGAGGTTCCTGTGGTGTGTTTACAGCCAACAGGACACACACACACACACAAACACCAACACACACACACACACACACACACACACACACACACACAACACACACACACACACACACACACACACACACACACACACACATATCTGTACCTGGCCCATCGAGCAGTGTGATGGTGGAGCAGAGTCCCCGGGGCCCCCGCTAATGAGCCACAGCTACAGTGACGTTCAGGCTGCACACATTGAAGGCTTGCCTGACCGTGTAACCCTGCTAAACACTCCCCTCCTGTGAGCACACACAGTACCACGTCAGTACAGACCCAGCCCCCCCGAGGGCATCAGACCAAGAGGCTGGGTGTTTGGCTCCCACAGATGTGTGTGTTAATCCACTTGCTTTTTGTACACCTCCTAGCTACGTTCAACCACGCATCTCGGGGCAGAATCGCAGGACTTCAAAGGTGTCTATTTCCGAGGAACACACAGACCAGGCTGTATTCTGTGTGTTTGTGAGTGTGTGTGTGTGTGTGTGTGTGTGTGTGTGTGTGTGTGTGTGTGTGTGTGTGTGTGTGGTGTGTGTGTGTGTGTGTGTGTGTGTGTGTGTGTGTGTGTGTGTGTGTGTGTGTGTGTGTGTGTGTGTGTGTGTGTGCTGTTTCTTACCAGATATGGGCTGGATGTAATGGAGCAGGCATTAGCAGATGCCCAGCAGAGACAGGCTCACAGCAAGCGAGCTGATGTAGCTTGAAAGAGATGGCCCTCTGCAGAAGGGTGGGAGGAAAAGCGTGCACACACACACACACACACACACACACACACACACACACACACACACACACACAAACAAACAAACACACGCTGCAAACTCCCCATGGAGCTGAAACCGTACATCCACCCACTCTCTAGAGGCTGCAGTTATATTTAACTGGGGCAGAGTTAAGGCAGAGGAAAATAAGTGTAAAACTAAGGCGAGGGCGAGGAGGAGAAGTTTGTGTTCGCTGGGCGAGTGGCGTTGTGGAGACAGATCTCCCTGGTGACCAGGGGAGACGAACCACTGCCTCCCCCTATTACATCCACCCCGCGACAGGCAATATTCTCCCCTGTCTGCCTCACACATCCTCTTCCTCCTCTTCTTTTTCTGCCACCCACATTAGACAGATTTGATGAATTCGGCCCTGGAGCCAGGATCCTGCGTGTGCCCGACGAACACCAACAGCTCGTTTTGTTGAGGGCTTGTCTGAGCTTTATTACTGTACCCTTCACTTATAAAGTAAACAACTCAGTATGCATGTTTTCATCTGAGAAACATGCCCTGTGAATGCATGGTAAAGAAACACACACTTCTTTCTGTTCTGCGTTTATGCATTTGTATAATTGGTGATTAGATATAAATGTTTCTTAATAGGGTAGCTCTCATCACAGACAGACTGAAATCAAAAGCAATGAAACTGAAATTGTTGAAACGATGAACACGTTGCCCAGTTTGTTCAGGACATATGGACTGACTCTGGAACCGTTTCTGCACCCATAGATAAATGAGTCTTATTTGCACGATTCCTTACCGGTGACATCTGAGATGATGAATGATATCCTAACAGGCAGCTTATCTATTCTGCACACATTGCTACTGTTGGAGCTATATATTGATTTATATGATTGAATAGTCATACATTTATTTGCTGTTTTTGTTTATAGGTACTGATAGCGCTCGCAATATGATTGCGGCAGCAAAGAAACTTCCTTTTCAGCATATGCCCTGTAGCGCATATTATACAGATAAGAGGGCCATTGCTGTCTCCCTCCGCGACTGTGGATTTGACGGTGCTTCAGCAAAGTGCCGTAAAGTAGTTGGACATTTCAAACACAGTCCTGCAAACACAGCAGAGCTGAAAGTCCAGCAAGCCTCTCACGGGCAAAAGGAGGAGCCACTCATTCAAGATGTAGCCAAGCGCTGGAATTCAACCTTTGAAATGATAAAGCGGGTCCAACACAACAAAGATGCAATACATGCAGCCCTGGCACAGCAGAAGCACTAGTTAGCCATGCTAACCTCAGCTGAATATGAACGACTGGCAAACTTGGAAAAACTGCTTGAGCCATGCAGGTGGGATATTTTCTTTAACTCTCCTTTTGTTAAATATTAAATGGATGTATTAGTCACTTTAACGGCAATTCAGAAATAAATTCAAGCCATATTGATGTTATCTGAATGTAAAGTGTAGTCATGAATTCTGTTGGTCCTTGGTGACAAATATGTGTCTCTGTGGTGTTACCTGCACTCTGCCACCTCTTGCGTATGATGGAGGTCTCTGATGAAGACCCTGCCTACATAGTGCGCTTCAAGGCTGCATTCACAGAGGACCTCAAGAGGTGCAGACATTATTTTGTAACAGATTATGTATGCAGTTGTCTGCTTAATATTAATCTTATTATCGATGTTTTGGGCAATACACTCCCTGAGACCTTTTTGCTCAGAAAAACTCAAGCGAAAAGTAACAAATGAAATAATACAAATCTTGATCCCTAACTGCTTTTAGCATTTCATTCTTCCATACCTGCATTTGTTTTGCCACCCACAAAAAACAAAACTACAAGTAAATATGTTTATTTTAAACTTGTGATTAATCGGATTAATCATATCATTTTATTGTGATTAATCAGATTCATTATTTGGACCTATTGACAGCACTCATTTATTGTGATCATGCCGTGTCACACACACCCTTGCACTCAGTATAACCGAGAGATTTTATTTCCCACTTCCCTCATGCAGATGAAATCTTGATTTATTTGTTTTCTTGTTTAATTCATTCTCTTGACTTTGAGCGCGTTCTGTGCTGTTCTTGTTTTGTTTTATCTCGCTGGCGCTAATTAGTATTTGTACCGAGCTCTTTATGTTTATTATCTTTTTATCTGTCAGCGGTTTGCTAATTGTTTCCTTTTTTCCCACTACATATTTATCACAATCATTTTTGTGGTTTTCTCTGGATAAAATCACTGCTCTAGGTTTTACCAGAAAACCTCGACTGGCTGAATTCAAAGTGTTTGACATTACATCAATACGACAACTTATAAATTAAGCTGATTTAACAACTCCAACGCTGTCGCTCCGACTTACAATTACAAGTCAGCGCAGGCAGGTAATTAAACGGTCCGAAGCTGTGATTCCTCCAAAAATACACCGAGCCCCTTCCAAAGACAACATGCACAACATGATTGTGCCGTGATCAGCAGTGGATATTCAAATGATCGCTGTAAATAGACGGCTAAATTAGAAATCAAACCTGAAAACACAATTTGTTGTAATGACAAGCTCCTTCAAAAGACCACAGCATGCCTGCCCCCCCCATCCTGACAGCCTTTCTTCACATCTCAGGCTTCTGACAGGGCTTTGTACGCGCCTTGTCACCTCAAATCTGTCTGCCACTGCTATTTTCTCCCCCGCCCCCCCGGCGCCTGCATGCTTTGCCTTATAAAGACACTGAAGATGCAGGTTTCGTCAGGGGGCCATTTTCTGGTGGGGCTCCTAACTGAGGACCAGTAGCCTTGTGTGCTCTCTTATCCCATCGCTTCATGGTATCTGATAGGGTTCACAGAACTTCACACTGATATCACTGATGCTCGGTGCTCCACGCTGACGATAATTACTGCTGATGGCCTTTTCCTCCCAGCTTCTCTGTAACCTGATTATGCCAATCAGAGCGTCTAACGACAGGAGAACGTAAACTGTTGGCAGTTGCAAGCCCCATTCCTTGAGCAAACTTTTCCGCGTACCACAAAGTAGACGAAGATAAATGAACTCCTCGGAGCTGAAGGGAGGATCAGTGGTGTAGCCAGAACTTCACGAAGCTGAGCGTGTTTGGTAAATATCACTCTAGAGTTATGCACGACAACATCGCAACTGTAAAGCTCAAATACATCATGCTGCTGCTGTCTTTATAAGAGCATAACCATAGCACAACAGTGTTATTGAACTTGTAATGCAATTTAAACACCCTCTCGTGCACCAGCACAGGGAAACTGAGTTTGTACAAACCCAGAAATATGCCTCTGTCCTCACTTCCAGTCCCACAGTTAGCCATTAATGGATGGAGCCTTTTCAACATCTGTTTGCGTGTCAATACTTGCGTCCGCACATTGAACCTGTCAAAGAGGCAGCACATTTAACGTCACTGTTAAACCAGAATGCTTCTTCAATAGCAGCTGTCATTACGCACTGATGGGACTATTTATAGTGCCTGTACCACTTATTCACTCATTACTGTTGGGCATCTTAACTTGATCACGCTTCATCTCAATTCTGGATTATTAAACATCAGAAAGATAATCAATAATTAAGAAATACTTTATAATTCATTGACAACATTATTGACACATGTAAATAAATAGAATGATGAAATGCTTTTTTATTTAATCTTTTAAAATTGAGCTCATAAATGCACATTTGTTAGACGTATAGTGGAACGCTGTGTGGACTGCCAACATAAATTGACACAATTGATCAAATTGGCAAACAACCTGTTCAGTGTTAACAATGATTCATCACATGTACATGTGAACCTCTGCGGGGGGCAGGAGTAAACGTAGATGTTTGACTGCCCCTGAAGAGTTGGAGACCATCCCTCACCAAACACCTGATGTCGGTGGCTTTTAATGCAGCATATGTATTTTCTCTCATGTATGTTTCTTCAGCTAACAGCAGAATGAGTCATAGAGACACTATCATCTCTTCTAAGTGTCTTTAGCTGCTTAAAGCTCACTCCTTATATTCCTCTGTGTTCACGCTCGGCAGTGTGTGTTGGACTAAGACAGTGGTTCTCAAACTTTTTCTACTGCAACAATCCCCACATGCATATACACAGTGTTCCCGCGACTGTTACAATGAAGGCTCGATAATCAGCTCACGGCATATAGGTGTAAGCAGGGGTAAAGTACTATTTTTTATAGGTGGTGTGTGGACCTCACATAGGGGGGTCCGGGGGCAAGCTCCCCCGGGAAGATTTTTAAATATTGAAGTTAAAAGCATCAATCTGGTGCACTTTGAGAGCTAAATGAAGAGATCTATGGACATCTCTCAACACAGAACTGTAAACAGATTTTCTATTTCTTTATGGATATTTTACAAATCACTCCCCTTTTAAACTTTATTCATTTTTTAATGTCATATA